ATGCGTTTTCAGAAAATTTTGAGCTTCTAATGTGGACGCCGGGTACCATTCGGATGTTGAATGTCACATTGACAATAAGTGTACGGGCGCTGGCAGCTCCGGTGGACTGTGTGCTATATAGTATCTACTTATAAAGTTCTGTTTTATATGCAGACGTTCACTGGTTTCTAGCTATCACATGGATGAACGTTATCACAAATCATTTGTTTTTTAACCACGTGAAATTCTAAAACGGAACGTGCTATGGTGCGTGTCAGTAATGAATAACAGAACATAATAAGAAGCTGGGTGACCTACCGTTTAACATTTAATATTGAGATACGTAGGCATACCAGCAATGATTGGGATCTAATTAATGTAGGCTTATATATAAAAAAAGTTAAAAGTATTAATGTTAATTTGACGTAACTATACGCGGTGCATCGCGGCTCCACGCCTATGACCAGAATGTACACGATACAGTAATAAAAACTCGCTTGGCACGAGGCTATGATTAGCAATAAGTAGTACAATGAAAATAATGTGACGATGATTCAAGTAGTGACCACATGCATGCATCCCTTTCACGCAGATATTATTAATGAAGAGAAACCTACAATCCTAATCGAGGACTAAGTGGAAATATGATCCTTCTAGCCTACTCATAAGCGAGACACAAACCGAATACTATGTCGATGGCGGCGCTATCTAAAATCGGTGCTACTAACATTCTTACAGTTATTACTAAAGATACAAGACAAAGTAAATATACTAAAATTAAATACGATATATAGTTTATTTTTATAATAATTAACAATTTGCGCCCCTAAACTTACCAACGAAAGACAAAATTTATTTTAAAGCAATACAACTTAGTTACTTGTTAGGAGAAACAATCGAGGATTAAGTTTAGGAATTACAGCAACTATTTTGTAAAGATTATCTAGCTCAGTGTTAATTTTATATGTATTAGTTTTATTTTATAAAATTTGCAAAAGTAACAAATTGTTTCTTTGTACTTTTAAGCAATTCACTAAATAACACCACATTAAATTCAACATGAAAAAATTCGAATGTTTGTGTCTAAATAAATTGTTATTAATTATAAAATTCAACAAATATGTGCAAATAAACTAAGAAGTTGGCAACGTTCGTGTAATTACATTTATTAAAACTGAACAAATAACTGAGTGACTAAAATATGAATAATCAAACACACACTACCATAATCAGTTGAATATGTCTAGTTTTAGGATTAAATAAGAAGTATTTCGAGATGCAATCCCAGCTAGTATCTACACAACCCATTGTGCAACGTGAGAGGAAACTGATGAACGGGAAACTTATGTAACGTGACTGGAAGAAAAGTTTATTGACAAACCGTATTTGTTTTTGAATATTATGACCACATTTTTGACCTGGAAAATATTTCATTCCCAACATTGAGTTATATGTACTACGTACTAGAGAAGCTATTCCAAACAAAAAATGTGCACTACTCTGTATCCGCGCATGCGCAGTTGATATAAACCCGCGAAAATTGTCATAATAAAAATTGTTTATTTATATTGTATATTGAATATAATTGAATACGTTTTTTAAAATTTTCGTTTATTTAGCATATGTGCTAATTTAATATAAATTTGTTATTAACGCCGCTCCGCACTGCATGAATATCGCAGCCACAATAACACGTGTACAGATTGCAGTACAGTTCTGTTGAACGTAGCGAGTGTTCCGAATGCCAAATCTAGTGCGTAGTACATATATATCGATGATTTCCAAAGAACCCAAAAGTTATTTTTTTCTGATTTAGTGAATAATTAAAGTAAATAAATTTGTCGACACGTAGAATATAATAAAAAATCTAATTATGTCTTGTTTTATTACTTTTCATTAGGGCTCCGGTAGCAAAGAGACTGGACGCTCGTAGTAAAGATAAACTAAGTAAGAATGTATCTGTGAAATCCCCAATCGGGCATGTTTGGTTCGCCAAAAATCACCGGGGCAGCACGGCGAACTTTAACCTGTTCCTTATGTCTTTATTATATTATTAGGGTTTTGTACAAAGTACTTCTTTGTTGACTTAGTTTTAACAAAACGGTTTGTCAAGTCATGAAATGAATCTAAAATATAAAAATGTTTTCGAAATTGTATATATAGTACGTATATTATAGCACTGCAAAAAAGTACATCAACTTACCGATAAATTTTACGATAAGGAATAGATTATTCTTGTGCCACTATAATTTTCTATTTTAATATCTAGAGAGGTATTGAATCTTTTATATTGAAAAGACTATAAAATATTGAATAAACATTATTGTGTCAGGGACCAATATATTTATTTGTTTTAAAATGTATTTAGGTTACCAAATATAATGTTAATCGAATTTGTACAGGATAGAGGGTAGGTTTATCGACCCTATACTTTAAGAGCGTCATTGTAAACACGTCCTATGATAATGCCTACTTAGATGGCTCTGTATTTGACTATTAAACAATTATGTTTCTATAATTTGTGTCGCTTTCTCTAAATTAACGAATTGTAATGTCGCTTCACCTTCACATTTGTACATGGCCACCATCAGATGATCTGGTTCTTTTTTTAATATTTTTCTAAATATACCAACAACAGCTCGTCTAATTTTTTCAAATACTTTATTGAATACATACATTTCGTTAAATGTACATTAAACTTTTTAAATATAATTCTATATTCGAACGAGCAAACTTCGATAAAATTAAAATTGATTAACATATGAAGTGTCATTACAATTCGCCTTATATCGTTTAAAATAATAGGGTTCTTTGATATTGTTGAAATTATGTACTATCGTTTTATGGCTAATCTAGAAATATGCAATAATATATTATCTCATTTAATATTTTAAGGTAAGCATCTGTCTGTAAATTGCGTATTTACAATAATGTCATATGGTGCTTTGATATAATATGTAATGTTTCCCATATAATAATTTCAACCTTAGGAGTAATTTTAAGCGAAGATTACTAATAAAATATATTAAGAGGTACTGCAACCATACTAGACGAACTGGCTTTCAAGGTTGCTTTTGTAAAATAATGATTGCAAACGATAAAAATATTTCATTGAAAAAAATAAACATGTTTCAGTATCAATTAATTCGATCACCTGATTATAATCATGCCAATTGTTAAGATCACGGTCTAGATTTATTAAATTTACGAAAAGTTTCGAAGACTATGTTTTTTTCCACAATCGGAATTTTAACACATTGTAAGCCAGTTCGATTACCACTCAAACAGTGCCTGATGACAAAGATGATGGTTTATGAGGTGCAGTGATGCGGATGATAGCGTAATGACGTGCGAATGACGTGTTAATGATAACCCTATGACCTGGGTGCAATAGTGGGAAACTATGAAGAGTAAAACGGTTTCACATGCTGCCGTTCAAATACCATTTATTCCAAAATAGTCCGATATGAAACGCAAATTTGGGAATGTATTTCATTAATCCGTCTTACTTAATTAAGGCAAAATTATGCCCAATAAAAATCCCACGTACACCCATGGATCCACCGACTATGCAACATTTACGAACAATCTCAGTTTCAGTCATAACAGCAAAGAGACCTTGTATAGCGTAATTCAAGTCTAACATGCCACACTCAGAGCGCATCAATCATCAATTACTTTAGATAAAAAAGGTAAATGGCAGTATTGATATTTTAGTAGGAAAATGCAAAAATTTCATCTAAAAAAGTGTCAAGTCTTCTTAGAATTATTGCCTAACATGCGGCGCATGTCACGCCGTCTACACGTAAACATAGTGAACGTGTTAGAACGCTTACCAATCCGCACCACTTTGATCTAATACCTAAAAACGCTTTAAACGCTTTAAACTAGAACTTTATCACTTGTAATCACGTTGCGAGTAAGTAATAAGTATCAAATGTATCAAAATCTTACCTAATTTTTTTATTAAACGTTAAACAGTTACTGAGTAAATGTGCACATTACTTATTATATACGCTTATTAAATGGTGAAAGCGCTATGCTTACAAATAAATAGACATTTAGGTTAATTATAAGAAACTTCCTTAACCTAAAATACAGCCGAAGCCAAATATTCTTTACGATTTAACAAAAAAAAAAGTAAACTACTTAAAAATGGATTAAACATGACTTCAGTGATTAGCGGATTTGTCCACTCGTTTTATTTTTAAATTATGTGTATTTTTTTCTTGATATGGCACAATTCCGAAAACTTTGAATTATCATATTTTACTCTCAAACGCTCCTTTAATCACTGAAGAATATATAAATGAAAGAAAACAAACGCAAAACAAAGACAACAGTAATTCGATACATAATCTTACAATAATATTTGACACGCTAATCGTATTATTGGTGACACAGCAATGACTTATAATTAAAATCCTTTAACATAATTATTAAGTGAAAAATTACAAGATGTAAACGAAAAATGATATTAAAAATAATAACCTAACATGGCATCTCTAACAAGTAGATGTCACCTCCTGGTTCAAGTGCCATTTGGTGGGAGGAAATAAAGGATCGTAAAAAAACCTATGAAAATATTGTATAACACTTAAGTTAAAAAGTTAAAAATTTTGCTAAAATAAAACATAACTAATAAACTAAATTGAACTAAACAACACACCACTCAAACGCCACCACTATCAGATAGGGCAGGTGATCAGTATCACTGAAAACGAAGGTAATTAATAATTTAAAAAACTCCCCTTTATCTCCTTCTAAAGGAAAACTCCAATTCGCGTTCCAATCGCATAGAATGACACAAAATGCAATTTCTGGCGTCACTTTATCGTTAATCGTTATTTCTGATTTAAAAAAAATCAACATCTACCTATTTTAATCAACAAAGTGCAGTAATAAAATTAAAATAAAATCAATAGTTACGATCTAAACCGATATATAAAATTATTTTCAATAATACCAACTTAATTTAACAAAAATTACCACTATGAAAAGAGTTCGTTTAACACGCGCGCTTACGCGATCTGGTTAAGGTAGTCCATGAAGTCGTTCGAGAAGAGTTGGAGGTGCGCGGGTTCGGGTGCGGTGCGGCGGGGGACGCCGCAGCCGGTGGGAGCCACGGGCACGCTCGGCTTCGGGCGTATGGTGGCCAGGTAACGCTCGGCCAGCGACTCCCCCAAGCTCATCGCGAGCGTCTCCGGGCTGAGGCCGAGCAGCGACAGCGACTCGGGGATACTGGCGAGCGCAGGCGCAAGGTACTTGGCGTCGTCGGACTCGGGCCGCGTGGCCATGCTCGTGTTGACGACGGGCCGCAGCGCGGGCGGCGAGGCGCGACGCGGCGGCGACGGCGCGAGCCACGCTTCAGGCGAGGTGCCGGGGGCGGCCCCCGGCACCGCCGTCTGTTATGGCCACTGCTGGAACAGCGGGAACGCCCGTTTTGTGAAGCAGTAGCCGAGCGGTTTCACGAAGTGCGCGTCGAGCACGCGGCAGTGCGGGCACGTGACCGGGTGCGAGTAGTCCGAGTAGTTGAGACGTTGGTGCGGGTGCAGCAGCGGTTTGTAACAGTTGTTGCACTGCGGAAAAAATAATGCATGCCGTATCACACGAATTAGGAAAATGTTTCTAGTTAAACAGATGGGAGAAGAGCGCAGTTTCGAATAGGGAAGTTAGTCTGCTCTGCATATATTGGTTGAGTAGAATAAGTGGCGGAGCGGAGTAAAATAGAATGGGTGCAGTTTTTTCACAACATCATTTGTCAAAGGTGTTGAAGAAGTCAATGGGTGCGTTTGGCAGAAAAAAGCACTAGCAAGCGCTTGTAAGCAAAATGGCGATCGTAAGCGGTAAGCGCTGCCAAATCGTAAGTAGCTATTTTCCTCTAGGACACGATGTTAGTTTTTCCGGGCAACTTTACCTAATTTAAATATATGTTTGTGAAGTATTCATATTAAAAACCAATAATGAAAACCAAAAAAACAATACCAATCATGAATTTTTAATAACATGTATATGTCTATTCATGTCATTATATTACTTAAACTAATATTGCACAAAACAACTTATAAACTCTACTTCAAAACAAACAAATTAAATAAGCAAAATGGCGGATTGTGTCAGCGCTACTGAAGTTAACAAACGTGTCTGGCCGAAAACTGTTTATTTTCGCCATTTTGCTTACAAGCGCTTGCTAGCGCTTTTTCTGCCAAACTCACCCAATAATTAAATATATTTAAAACAATTCCTCTCTTCCTGCTAACACTGTTTCTAGAGGGGAGAGCCAAGTCCTTGGCAAGTAAGAACTAAGATTTCATTACGTATATAAAAAACGTACCTTTAATCGCTCAGCGCAGCAAGGTGTTGCCATAAAGATATCGTAGGAGTACATAGTGCCAAGCACGAGGGAAGAACCGTCCCACTTCTGCCCGCAGAATCTGCAGCGGATCGTGCGCTCTGGATCGCACCGCTCGAGGCATCCCATACAGACACATGTCAGATATTGCGTCCGACCTTCCACTTTCACCTGTGTCAAAGACATACAAATCATATAATATGATGTATTAATAATAATAAGTGTTTATAATAATCTTTAACATCTGCAATTATAATTAATCTATAACATCTGCAATTACATTTGCCCTAAGAAATTGAATTATTAATATGTATACGCATTAATAACAATTGTTATTATGGACATAAGGTAACTCTTACAAAAAGGCGATAAATAAATTAACGGACTAAACAAATTTTGCACAAACAATAATCATACTGCATTTTTAATCCAGGAACTAATCTCAACACATCTCAAGGTGCATTTGGCATCGATGGTGAACGTGAGCTAAGTCGATTCACACATGAATCGAAATCGAAAAGCTTTTATGCTGATGTGTAAACCCATCTGGTTTCAAAAAATGATGCAGAGTGAAAAGTTTAAGATAAGCTACTATTTCTTTACGCTGTGGACAGTACATTAATTCTAACGTCAAACAAATATACAAGTATCCGTGAGTTCTCACATTCGTCTTATAAACAACGTCGAATAAACAACGAAAGTCGAGAACTTCCCGTCGCATGAGTCGCGAGCTCGCGAGCCCCGACGCCCATGTTATTTTGTATAGAGTTAAATAAACTTTGCGGGATCTTATTTAAGTTTACAAGGGGGAACTTGGTAGCAATTTAAAAGGGAGGAATTAAAACAAGATACGTTTTATTGCTGTTTTCCAAGAACACTATATAACACGTGATTAAATTAAGTTGTCTACTTTATCAAAGTTTCAAACTTGACGCACCAAGCTCGGGAGATCCTAGTCTTATAATTAAAATTAAATCTTTATTTAGTATTTTTATACTATCGCGGTCCCCTCGTTTTTTGGTTCTAGAAAATCGGAAAATCATCCGATATCGATGTTTTTTTTAATCTTCGTTTTTACGGCGGATTTATGAAAAAAAATATGGAAAAAATCTCAACTGAGGATTTCATAAAGTTTTATAACTTTAAATGTGATCATAAACGCACTTCTTCGAATATAATCGTTCATAAATTATTTGCAAAGCAGCAACAGTCAGTTCAGTTCAACAGTTCGAAAACGGCACTTCATCATCACCATCGCCGTCATCATTACAGTATAGACATCCCCCAAGGAATGCCACAAAGCACGGTCCTGAGTCACCTGCATCCATCGACTTCCTGCATGCCTTACCAGGTCGTAACTTCATCTATTGGAGGGTCGCCACACACTTCGCCTGCTGGTACGAGGCTGCCACTCGAGAACCTTTTTGCCCAAGCGGTTGTCGGTTCTTCAAGCTATATGGCCGGCCCATTGCCACTTCAGCGTTCTAATCCGTTGCGCTATATCGGTCACTCTGGTTTTACTGCGGATATCCTCATTTCTAAGTTTATCACGCATTAAATACCGTATCCTTTGCAGTCCAGTAGTTTGAAAACGTCTTCCAATGCATCGGCAAAGAGTTTCGTGGATATTACGTCACCCTGTCTTACACCTCTCTGCAGTTGGATAGGTTTCGTGCTCTGATTCTGTACTCGGATAGCCATCGTAGTTCTACTGTTCAAACAGTTCAACACTTCGATATACTGACAGTCGACTTGGCACTGCTGAAGGGACTGTACCATCGCTTAAATTTTCATTTCTCATAGTCCGCATACGCCGACAAAGTGGCAGATTGTACTCTTCGGACTTCTGTACAATTTACCGAAGGGTATGTATGTGGTCTATGGTGCTTTTTTATATAAATATAGGATAGGGTAACAAACGAGCTCACAGTCCACTTGATGGTAAGTGGTTGTTGTGGCATCTATGTACATAGACATCTACATCTATCCTCAATTACGAATCAAAATGCAGATGCGTTGTGACCCGTGAGAACTAAGATGGAATGCCTCGTTTCCAGTTAAACGGGTCTCTGATTCTCTACACTCACCATACGAAACACAAGCAGCATTAAGCTACTATTTTACACTGGTATTCTGTGAGAGCGCGGTCCTTCCTCGGTGGAGCCGACCCATTCGTGCTACAACTATACTACTAATATAACTGCAGCATGACTCTACCACGTATGAACCTTTCCAGAAACCGGCTTGTTCGGGAGGCTGGAAGTCGTCGAGTCTGCGTGCGAGACAACTCGTAATGACTCTCGAAAACAGCTCGTAGACGCGGTTCAGAAGGGAAATCGGTTTGTAGTTATTCAAGAGAGCGCCAGAATACGGCACTTAAAATTAGTCAAATAAGTACATATAATATATATAACACGATCGCGCTAACCGCATGTATTGTCTATCAGACTTAGTGAAATGCGATAGCATAAGGTCGGCCCTCCCCTGCACTTCGCAGTACCCCCACCGTTGCTCGGCACAAGTGCATTCGTTTCCCAGCTGTACGGTCTTTAAACTGTGACATTAATGTACATTACACGGATATTATATATTAATACTAAATAAATTAGGATGAAAAAAGGTCGTCTGATATAAAAACACATATTATATAATACCTCAACAGCACTGCTGGTGTGTTGGCGCGGGCTGAGGAAGAAGGTACCGTCGACCAGCGGGTAACGGTCGAACACGTCCAACGTCTCTTTGCATAATGCACATGATACCCTCGGTTTATGCTGGCCCGCTAGGGTCGACAGGATAAACAGGCGTGTGTCGTCGTTACCGTGGTTGCCTTCATCCTCGATCTATAACAAAAAAAAAATTGCTAAATAGTAAATCTCTTTTTATTATAAAAAATTTGTACCAAGAGTGCAGTGGGTGAGTCCTACGATGCGTAAACAAACGGTCTTTTATTGTAGTCTATTTAAAATACATGACGAACACGTTGCTACGCCATACGGCCTACTCAGGCCTTAAGGTTACACAATGTGTCCATTCATCGGTGTCGGAGACTTTGGGGTGTTGAAATACGCTAAATTTTAATCGACAGATCACTATCCCTACATTTTTGTCTCTTTCCATGATGAAATAGGAGCCATTTAGTTTTTTTTTTTGCCCACAGCATCAGCACGAGGCACGTGTGCTCGTACTGATTAAGCCACAGCTACCCCTGTAGAAGTCCTAGGAAAATGAAAGTGACAGCTAATAATGTAGAAAATAAATCAATGATAACAAATTTGCAGTTTATTTTTTATAAGAGACTTCTACATGGGTAGCTATGGCTTTATCAGTACGAGCACCCGTGCCTCGTACCAAAAAAAAATGGTTGCCATTTTATCATGGAGAGAGAAAATATGGGGATAGTGATTTGTCGATAAAATTTAATGTATTTCAATCCCCCAAAGTCTTCGACACCAATGAAAAGACACATTGTATAAATAAACCAGTTTATAGTTTTAAAAATATAACAGACAGTAATTATAATATCCTTTGCTATTTTCTACAGCAAAGGTCTAGAAGGTCAAAATCATAAGTTTCATAGAGAAAGTTCGAATAGTACACGAATAGGTTCGAATTCGTCCGCCTCGTTACAAGCGCCATCGTAAAACAAAGCTTGCTTTTCAATATTTCATATCCCTACATTTACATATTTCGATTAACGCATACACTCACCCACGACACTCTCCGCAACAACTCTCCCTTAATAATAACGCAAGTAAATGTCTGCATAAAGTTGAATAATGAAAGGATGAAAGGCAATTACGCTAAATTCGGAGTCAAGTCAAACAAAAGGCTCGCGAGCGCCGCAGAGATCGATTGTGAGCGCTATTCGTTCACGTACGAGCAATTTACGAAAGCGAATAATAATGAAAGTTTAACGAGTTACCGCTGCAGTGTGCGGCTTAA